TCCATACATTTTCTCTGCTCTGGCGAAAGTGTTTTCTTTTTGTACGATACCTCCCTCTGCCTCCCTTTTTTGTTTTTTTAATACCCAGGTATCCCAACTTACACCAGACTATGTCCCGGACCACCCATCCCTGGCCCCTCAGTGATGGGTGGAGGTTAACCGCGGGATATACCTAAGTTGACCAGGGTCCGTGCACCCTTTATACATCTGGCCCCAAGGGAGCCTTCCTCCATGGATATTACATCACCAATCTGTTCCACCCAAATTAAATATTACAACACTTAGCTTCTCCATCCAGGAATCGAACTCCCCACCTTGAGGTTGCAAATCCAACAATGCTCGTCCTTTGCCAACTCGGATGTGTCCCGGGAGGCCCTCTGCCTCCCATTTTTGCTTGGCCGCTGGTTAGTTTGTGCAAAGTGCAGATATTATGGGTTCTCCACTGGGAAGAAAAGGGGCGGGCGGTTTGTAATAACGTCTGATGCTTTGTTCTTTCAGTTATTACCTGTGTTCAAACTTCGTACAGCCAATTTATCGAAACAGCATTAACAAAAAGGGTACATTGTGATCTTTATAATAAGGTCTTTAGTGAAAAATTGATAAAAATTGTGTGTTTCTTAAAGTATATAATTAAAATTAATTATTGATTTTGACTTAAATTTTTATAAACATTTTTAATTAAATCAAATAGGGCTAAATGACCTTATTCAATATGTGCATGGGGTTGATCAAAGCTTTTTCGTCCTCGAGTTGAGCTTGATTATGAAGTTTCAAGCTTAGAAGCAGGAGATGGAAGAAAAAATGATATTCTGTATTATTCTTCTGTCCAGGTATCTATTACAATGAAAGGTTATATATAAATAGCTAACTAACATAATCAATTATAAAGTTACTCGGCACTAAATAATAACTGTTAACTAACATAATCATTTACAACGATCTAATGTCCTTCATGTCCATCTTGAATAAAATAGGAAATGATAAAGAACGAGGAAGAGATTTGGTAAAAATGTCTACAAGTTGATATTGAAATCGAATAGGCGT